GCACCCCTAAAGATAAAAAATCTCAATTTACACCCTCAAAGATAGAAATTTGTATTAATGTGTACCTAAAACTAAATTGATAAATTATACCTAGATCCCCTCATGTGTTGTCACTTGATAATTTGGACCCCTTCACATTTAGAATATTACTCTTACATCTCATGGCGTTTGTGGACGTGTAACACATAACCCATTTTCGTTGATATAAGTTAATATAACTGTTAAAAAAAATATAATTTTATCGCAATAAAAAATTATAATTTCATATTACCTTTTATTTTGTGGGTCTGATATATTCTAAAATTAAAAAACAAGCTTACCATTTGAATGTCCAATAGAATGTAGATATTTATATAATATTTTTTATATCCAATGCAATATATCACTCAATGTGCAACCTTTTATTCTATTAGACATTCAAATAGTAAACTTGATTTTGAACTTTAGAGTATATTGGACCCATAAAATAAAGGGTAATATAAAATTATAATTTTTTATTATGTAAAATCATATTTTTTAACGGTTATACTAACAGATATTAACGAAAAAGGGTTACGTGTTACACGTGCACAAACCTCATAAGATGTAGGAGTAATATTCTAAATGTGAAAGAGTTCAAATGGTTAAGTGACAAGCATAAAGGGATCTAGGTATAATTTATCAATTTAGTTTTAGGTGCACATTGATACAAATTTCTATCTTTGAGGGTACAAATTGAGATTTTTTATCTTTGAGGTGCACATTGATATAAATTTCTATCTTTAAGAGTGCAAATTGAGATTTTTGATTTTTGAGGGTGCACATTGATACAAATTTCTATCTTTAAGGGTACAAATTGAGATTTTTGATATTTGAAGGTGTAAATTGAGATTCAAATGATCTTTCAAGGTATAATTTATAATTAACCCTAAAAATACGTATCGTATCGTGTAAAGGACCATACTATGCAACGATACAATACTCCGATTCGTATCATTTTACCTCTGTATCGTGACGTATCGTACGATACATATCGCCTAACAATTATACCCTTAACATTGTTTCTCTCTTGCCATTCTCCTCTCTCTTCCTCCTGTAGGTGGTTGCAAACGCTATAGCGCACTACCACAGTCCTGCTGCCACCCCAACTCTAAGGTAAGTGTTCTTCTCTCCCTCTCTCCTCAACTATACACTCACCCAGCACAATCACATCTCGCATGTATAATCACATCGCACGCATGCCACCTGTTTGATTAATTGCCATACCCAGCACACACACCACAGATCAAACACGTACAGCACGCACACACCCACACCATCACACACCCGCACACACGCTCACACACGTATAAGACGGTGTTCTTCTCATTAGATGTAAGGGTGTTTATTGATTTTCTTTGTCATTTGGTTAAATATTTGCATTATTGTTTCCCTTGGTTCAAGGTTTTATGTTTCTGTGGGTATTTGTTGGTTTTTGCATTTTTGAGTGTTCTGATATGTGGTGTTTGGATTGAAATGGTGACAACTAAATGTATGGAAGCAATAATAGTGTGGCATGACCTCTGTTGCAAAGGACAAGGTAAAATGTGATTTTTGTTTTGTTTTAGCTATATCGGCCGGCGTGGGTTAAAAAATCGAATGATATATTTGGATGTACAAGAATCCCAGCACCACACCACCAGCGCAACAGCCAATCTCCGACACCACCAATGTTCAAGGTATATATCTCTCTCTCACCAACAATTAGCAACACCAACCCCCCCGGGCCGCGAATTCAGTTGATGGCCGTTTCATTTCGTCTCTTTTAGTATTATATTGTGTGTCAATTATGATGTAAAAGTATATAATTTTTTTTTTTTTTTGTGTTCTGCAGTTGTAGATGTACAAGAATCGATTAGTAAATGTCATTACAGCTGGTAGAGTTGATGTCTGGGCTGGGTTGATTCGAGGTTTAAAGATGCTCTCTCTCTCTCTCTCTCTCATGTTTGTTTATTGCTCAAGTGCGATCGCCTCACTACAAATTTCTGATCTCTTTACTTGATTTTTTTTTTTCATATAAAAGTGTACCAAACAAATTTAACTGGGATTTCTCTGATTTCTCCCTTTTGTGAAGTTGATAGAAAACAAACCACAATATTGCCGAGGTGGAGCAGAGCTATAACTCTGCTGTATAAAGTTGGATCCGAGAATATAGAATTTAATAGATTTTTGTATGTTTTTTTTATCCCAAAGCTATTCTAAAGTTGCGGCTGCCAAGGCGTTAAGTCCAACCGATCATAGTGAAAAAATGGTTTGTAGCACTGGACCAATCGTCCTCAACATCAACATCTCAAGCTTCTACACAGTTCGTGAGTAGGAAATGACCCATTTGGTGCACCTACAAAGCTGCGGCGGCCATGGGAAGGTGGTACCAGTTCATTGACAATGGCGAATTGGAGGAGTAAGATGAACCTAAAGTAGCCACTTTCACTAATTCATCTTATGTACTAACAAGTAAAATTAAGCTTATTTCCAACAAATTCATGACGCAGTGAAACCAAACTTTGAGTTCTTAGCCAAGCTTAGGGTAGACAGGCGGTGCTCCTTTAGTTATGCAGACGTTGCATGAGAATGTTGGAAGCTTATAAGAAACGCTCAACAGGGGAAACAGTGCAAGATCCTTAAATCTGGGATTGATTTCTGCACCCCTCCTTTGGTATTGATCTACAATAACCTACTTGAGAAAATTGAGGCATGAGATTCTTTGAGGAAATTAGTATGAGGGACATGCCTATTCTTTTTTATTGGCATTGTTAAATATGTAATCGTCAACCAAATTCCATTGACAACCCTGTAGATTGGTTTAATTACAAAGGCACCCCTTAGTTTTTTAAATTACACTAACACCTCTTGTTCCTTAATAAATATAAAAAAAAATGCATTTTTTTCATAATTACTCTTATCATATATCATTTTTTACTTATCACCCCCTCATATATTTAAATACTAATAAATGGGTGTCATTTTCGAATTTAATCCGTCAAACTTGAAATTTACACGATCAACATATTTAACTAGTATTATAAAAATAAAATATTAATTATTTATTACTATTTATTAAACATTGATATAATTATTGTATATAAAAGATATTTTTACTTATTATTATTGTTATATTTATTAGGTTAATTTTTAGTTTATAGAAAATATATGAGTATGGGTTCAATTAAGTGATAATAGAATCTTATATTTAAATTTTAGCATTAAATTTTTTTATTCAAAATTTATATGGGTCAATACGAATACGAACACACACGCAAGGGTTGCCCAGCGGTATGAAGTTGAACCCAGATAAACCATAGATTCGGACGTCATGGGTTTGACTCTTGTTAGTGTCTCTCGAGCTTAATAAATACCTATACTTTGCAGGCGATTAGAGGTATTCGGAGTTTACTTTAGTAGGGATGAATTCAAAGAGGCCCTACCTTGGAGAGGTTCCACATTATAAAAAAAAACATGAATACAAACACGAATACGACACGAAAATAAATAGGTTAGTCTAATTTTATTCATGAGTAATATGGGTAGTAAAGTGTAAAAAGTTGATGATATAATCACTTTTTTGACATTGCCAATAACGGTGTTATCTATAGGGGCGCTTTGTAAATGGATAGCTAAACAGTAAGAGGTGTTCGTGTAATTTCAAAAAATCAAGGGGGTGTGTTTATAATTAGATCAATTTATAGGGTGTTTGTGTAATTTACCATTAGTTTTTTTTCCTTTCTTTTTTTCTGAGTTAATTATTTTTGTTTCAACAATAACTTGAGTGGAAAGTTGAGTGGAAAGTTAATTATAAATGGTGTAATTAAATGAAAGGAAGTCAAAATATATATATTTTTTTTTCTACACGGTGGCTTCTGTAATTGGTTTGGGTTGTATTTCTTTAAAGAAAGATATGTATTAATTACTAATTTGATTTTATGAATTGTATACACATATTTATATGATTTAGGAGTCCTATTTTTAGATAAAATTCTATTGAAATTTTTTGAAAAAGTAATGAGTTTTTATTGATTGACAATTTTAAAATATTTCAAGATATGAAGCACAATTCTTGAATGGTAACGACGGGTTTCTTGCTGGCATAAGAAATAATGAATGGTAACGACGAGTTTCTTGCTGGCATAAGAAAGAATAATTGGTAACGGCAAAAAGAGGCAAACCAAAGTATGAGACATGGGAAAGTGAGAGAATGAAGAGTGAGAATAGGACTAAATTAGTTGTAATGTAGTAAATTCATGTCAAATTTCATAACATTAAGTCTCCATTTTATGTCCAAATATCATTACTGAAATTTCATGTACACTTGGCTCTTTTGATCATAAACAGTAGTAGGGGTAGTTACATCGACTTATGCCTGGTTCCGAATTGGGCATTGTGTTCTATCTAATAAGCTGAATGCTTAGACACATAACTTTGACATAAATATTCTAGAAAAACCGAAAAAATAAAATCTTCCTTTGCTCTGTTTTTTAACCCATCAACCAGTGAATCTCAACTCGTTATGCATAGCTAAAGATTGGCTTAGTCAATCTTTCATTGCTTCTATCTTCTTCCTTATAAATGTAATATAAATTGATTAAATTCCATACCCCGTCTTTCTCCTTCACCAACACAAAACCTTTTTATGTGTTTTTCAAGTATTATTAAGTACTTATCCATTTCTTTGAATGTACTTATTCCTAGTCCCTCTCAGTATATATTCCAAAATGCATATCATTCATTTCTTTAAATGCATTTATTCCTAACCCCTTCTTGTACATAATCTAAAGTACATAACTTAATCATAATTAGATACCTTACTCAAAATTTAGGCCATAGAACCTATATAAGTTTGGCCTCTCCGCTTGAAGAATTGGTGTACATATTAATCTCTTCTTCTTACAATTTCCGAGCTAGGCCTATTAATTACCTCTCTTTCCCTCAGCCTCTTTCTCTCTCTCTCTCACACACACCCACACCCCTACGAACACACATTAGAGATGGAAAAACTGAAACATTTCTGGCATAGCCATCCATTGGGCCTCAAGGAAATACAAATGGATGAAGGCGGCCACAAATTAGTTATCTGCGGACTCTGCGAGAAACAGATCTTAGGCCCTGCATATAGTTGTTCCGAATGTGATTTTTTTCTGCACAAAAGATGTGCGGAACTCCGTCGACAAGTTACAGACCCCATACACCAACACCCTATGCACCTATCCTGGCGACTCGCATGTGATTTTTGTGGAGATGATGAGAAAAAGATGCTACTGTTGTTTTTCTTGCGAATTTAAATTTGCATATCATGTTTAATAGAAGACCGCAGAATGATTACACATAAAAGTCACGAGCACCCATTAGCATTCCTACTAAGGCCAAGCTCTTTCTTTTGCAATCTTTGTCGCATGGAACACAAAGATTCATCATATGTATGTGTTACTTGTCAGTTTTGGATTCACAAGAGATGTGCTTTGTTACCTACCACCATCAGCCGTACGGATCACCATCACCCTCTCATTCTCGAGAAGTTGGATAAGTTCACCCAATTCGATACAGACTGTTATATATGTGATGAGCGTATTAATCGATTTTATTGGGCTTATTACTGTTTCCGATGCAGATGTTCTATTCATGTGAAGTGCTCATCAACTTCATCTTCAACACCTTTGAGGTGAGTCTATTCATCCTCCCCCAAAAGAAAAAAAAATAATTTAATAGTACTTTTGGCTCATAAAGTATATACGTTTTGTCAGTTTGGTCTTTAAAATATTAATTTTGTCAATTGTGTTTTTGAAATGCTCAATTTGTGTTTAAATGGTCCATACACATACAAACTATTAAGTTTTTGCCGGAATAATTACGTGTTGATCACGTGATACCGTCTGAAAGAATGACACGTGGTCACTTTCATCAAAAAATTTAACGAATTCTCTGATTAGGGACCAAAGTGATATAAATTGAAACTTTAGAGACTAAATTGATAAAATTAGTATACTTTAGGGACATAAATACTAGCAATGTTTTTTTATTGGTAAGTAACTCTTATTTTATATATATTATTTTAGGGATCTAGAAAGTGAGATTATGGATCAGAAAGACCACGATCTTGATGTACTACACTTGCCGATGAACTGTTTTGTTGAACATCTCCTCCTTGAAAAAATTGAGGACGAACCAATGATCAGCCATTGGAGCCATGAGCATCAGCTAACACTTTTCAAAGTGCAAAATGACAATGAGACAAACAATGATAACACAATATTATGTGATAGCTGTGTACAACCGATTTCACATCCATTTTATTGTTGTACACAATGCGTTTATTTTCTCCACTTAAATTGTGCCAACTTACCACCAGAGATACAACACCCACTTCACCAACACCCGATTCAGCTCTCAAACTTTAGTGAATTCTATCGGCTCACCGGTTGCGAAGCTTGCGAGTCATACAACAACGGTTTCTTCTACAAGTGTGACACGTGTAAATCCTTCGCCATTGATGTTAAATGTGCTCTCCTGCCCGCCTCTATTGTACATGAAGCTCACAAGCACTCCCTATGTCAGAGAAACAATACATGGATGAGAATGGATATTGCAGTGCATGTGGACTCTATTTTTATAATCACGGGTTCGGATGTAAGGATTGCAATTTCCGTCTATGCTGTAATTGTGCTCTACTCCCTAAAACCGTCGAGCATAGATGGGATAGACATTCCCTCATCCTTACCTATCCTCCTATCTTTGATCATCCCCAAGATTTCTATTGTGAAATTTGCGAGGAAGAAATAAATACCAGGGAGTGGATCTACCATTGTCGAGAATGTGATCAATCTTTTCATCTTCAATGTATTCATCGTACATATCGAAATGTCAAGTTTGGTGGCAGCCGTGAGTTTAAAGATCACCAACACCCTCTCAAGTTTCTTCAAAATGCAATGAAACAGTTCACGTGTTGTCGTTGTGGTGGGCTTTCTAGGGATGATCCCGTACTTGAATGTCTAGAGTGCTACTATATGCTTTGCATAAAATGTATGGAAATTCATGATGAGTAGTGACATTGTTAATAGATGTATAATCTTTTTTGAATACCTTTCAATGTATTTACTAATAATTGTTATATATTGATACTTCTGTTGTAGTTGGTAACATGTTTTTAATGTTCATCAAATTTTGAATTTTCATACAATTTCTAATACTACAAGTTTTATTTCATTTTATTTTAAAAAGCCCAAATATTTAAGTTTATATATCTTGTTATTAGTTCGGGAAACCAAATTGGCTGAATTTCCATTGCTTTTGATCAAATTCAATTACTAATTTGCCATAATAATTGGAACAATAAAAATTATCAATTTTCCATTTCAGTAAATATCCCAATTATGTGAACTAAAATGGATAAACACTTCTATATAATTATCAATTTGATCATGTTCTAGTGAATTGACTAAAATGCCCTCCCATTATCAGACTATGATGCAAATTAAAGGATTTTGGAATAATGCATTGAAATGGGCAAGGAAATTGAAGTGAAATGCATTGAAAAAATGCTGCCATAATTTTTATTTTTATTTTTTTTGAACTGCTGCTGGCAAAAATTAACCAATTTCTTTCTGTGGTTCACTCCTAATATAATTGAATTGGCCTCATTCAATTACATTCCTTATTTAAATATAAAAATAACAAAACAAAATTTTTTACTTCTTTTCCAATGACGAAAGTTTAAATTACAACCTTTTGCTCATTAATTCTCTCTCATTAATAGATTGGCCTTTATAAAGCACTAGTAATAACGGTACTACGCAACACAAAAAATCGAGCACTCAAAAATTTAGTGTAATATAGATATTCTAAATAGCAATTTTGGATCCTGTCCTTTTTTATTTTTAATTATATAATTTCAAATCAATCTAGACACATTATTTTTCAAAAGAACAAAAAGGACAAAATTTTCTCTAAAAACAAGACCGAAAAAAATCTCAACCTATGTACCTAATTTATCAAAAGCCTAGTAATTGGTACGTGATTGCTTACTTTTAAAGAAAAATATGTATATAAAAATAACACGGTTCAAACTAATTAGCGAACTCACTATCACACCACAATCCTACTAATGCCAGCAATATAATTAAGTTCAACTTACCCACATAGTTGTTCATATCAAAATTAAACATCCACATCACACAATGCCACACACATGTACTTCAAATACCACGAATAACAACAACCACCACGATTAATACCACAACTGAGAATTTCACCCAATTCTAATATATCACAATTATAAAACCCGAAGCAAATATAATAATTGTGTATAGAAACACAGTTATTTCCCATAACTCATTATGCACACATCATATAACATAACATACACAAGTCACAATCGATCCCCCATGATCAACAACACATAACCATATATCACATATTGTATTCCATCATTCTAATTCAGACAATAATTGGCACATAATCTTTCGCAAAGGTATATCAAAAATCATACGTAAGCATAATTCACATTTATTCATAACAGTGAATGTTCAGTACTAAATATAGTTCAAACCATTGATTCCCTTCATTACATACTTTCACCTTGACTCATGCATTTGATAGAAGAAAAACATTCCCTTCATTGGACGACAACCTTTATCCCCATAAAGACAATAAAAACATATTCAATGTGTCGTGCGTGAAGGCATTATGTAATAAAAAAATTAGCAATTAAAAACTAAGTATTAGAGGAAAGTAGCGCAAATAATGCATTTAGGAGACCAAATAAGTTTTTGCGTCCAATAAACTCGAAACAGTTCGGACAAACTTTCCTCCAAAAACAAGACCCCAAAAGCATAACCACAAATGCATATTAAATTAGAGATCACAAAATTAAACGTTAAACAAATAGCAAAACAAAAATATTGCACCAATCACCCTCAGCCCCAATGACTTGTGCTTATTTCCTTCATGAAATGATAGCATTCACCCTTCACACCTACAAACCATCTGCTATTCATTGGGAACCGAGTCAAATGGAAAGAAAAGATGTAAGATATGAACCGAGTCAATTTAGTTTTACACAATAACAATTTTATGAACTTAATTTAAAATTTTAAGAACATCTAAAGAAATTAATTCTATGGGAAGGAGATTAAATGACCCGTATCAAAAAAAAAAAAAACTTGAAGTTTCAAAAAACTGACCTTGAAGTAAATTCATTAAAAAAATTAAACAAAACACAAGACTTGAGTTTCAAAATGTATTCTCTTCTTTTATTTCATTTTATTATTTTGTTTATAAGCTGGCCACAACGCAAATACTCATTGAACCACATGAAATTAATATCACTACTCAAAAATCCCAATGTTCACAAAAATAATCAAATTCTCGTATTAATTTGTCCAACGGTGCCTATTATTTTCATAAACAAATAGCAAAAATTCCAAACCATAAACCACCTAAATCAGACAACATAACCACCACTATACACCACATGCGCCACCATCATAGTCTCACTTCCTGAAATTCCCAAACCACAAACACCATATACCCTTCACCCGTAGATTAACACTCTTTATCCACACTTTTATTGTTTGAACATCTCTTTAACAGAAACCAATCACAATTATTGATTTCCTCATCAGTCCATCCAAGACACATAATCAATCAACCGATGAAATGTAATGCATCAAAATCCCAAAATTTTCAGGTGAAAACAAAATAAATACAAACGAAGAAAGAGAGAAATGCTTACAGGTTCACATATGCCGAGTGGCTTCAATACACAATGAAAGTGAAATTAACAAAAGCAAAAATCATTAAGTAAACTGATAACAAAAAAAAAAAAACCATTAAAAAGTGTGGATACTGCAAATTGAAGTTGGCACAAAGGTGAAAGACTTGAGGTTACAGCTATTTTTCAACCTATACAGAGAGAAACAGAGAAAGAGTTAGGCTCTGGGTATACCTCGGATGGGTCCAATTGAAGTGGATTGGAAGAGTTTTTGAAGCTTTGAACTGGTCTTCAACTGCCCACTTGCTCAATTGCAGGATTTCAAGTTCATCTACATAACGAAAATTGAAAGCAATACAATTTGCCCCAATTTCATAACCCTAAACCCTAAATTATATAATTGGAACCATAAAATGACATTAAAATGGGCAGTGATTGAGGAGGAGGTGCTCTCATGAATTTCAACAAACACTTCACGTGCAGGGTGGGGCTGTGGTGTGGCAAAAAGTTAACTTGTGTTGGCAAGTGTGCGTGTGTGTGAGCTGTTGGGACAAAATCAGAGAGGCGAAGGATCGGGACATCTGGAGAGAGAGAGAGAGAGAGAGAGAACATCACACACGAGTCATGTTTTAATCTTAATTTTTAAATTCAGTTTTGTTTTAAAAAATATTATTTGAAATGACGTCTCCTACTATAAAAATATCATTTAAAATGACGATTTAGAGATAAATTTTTTTTTCCCTAAAACGTCGTTAAGAATGACATTTTTAAAGTCGTCATTTATAATAACGTTTTCTAACAAAAAAATTTAAACGGCGCTAACATACGTTAAAAAAATATTCCTTCCGTTCCTAAATATCTGTCGTTGTACACAATTTTTTTTTGTCCTATAATATTTGTCGTTTTATGAAACCAAGTATAATAAATATTCCAAATTTATCTTTATCTCTATTTTTCAATAAATGCCTAATAGATTAAGTGTAGGCTAAGTGTCTTTCATATTCCTTTTCTTCCCAATACGTATTGAATATGAGTATTTTAGTCTTGTGTAATTATTTTTTTACTCATATTAGAGCTATTTAATAACCTCCTTAATCCTTGTATAAAAACCTTAAATGACAGATATTTAAAAACGGAGAAAATTAAAAGGTTAAAAACATTATTTAAAATGACGACTTAAACGTTAGGCCAAACCACTTAAATTACACAAATCACAAGCTAGGTCAAAAATTTTCAGCTTCATTTCAACCACTCAGCTCTGCTCCTCCGGGAGCAGATCCTCTGCGGTAAGTGAAAAACCGCATGTCATGCAGTTAAATAAAACGGTGTCGTTCCACTTGGTTTTGGAATTTTTTTTTTATTCCTTCTTACCAAAACGACGTCGTTTTGGTCCAGTTAAAACCAACTTCGGCTGTCTCTCTTTTCTTTCTCCCGTTTCTTCTTCATCAAACTCCACTGGTTCCACGTACAAAGTGGGTCCTTTTCTAATAATTCAAATCTTTAGCAATCTTTTTACCAATGATAATATAAGCTGAAAGAATAATTTATGTTTCATTTACCTGCTAAATTACCAACTGGAGTTAGGTTCACCATCAACCTCAAACTAGTCTAGTCTTGCTTGTTATTGTATTCAAGATCCAAAAAGAAATAACCAAACCAGGGGGCTGGAAAGAATCTTACAACTCCAAGCTGATAAGTTTAATATGAGGTTTGTTTTTTTAAATTAATTGTTTTGCTAAATGTGCTGCTGGCTCATAAGCATATATATATATATATATATATATATATATATATATCTGTGTGTGTATAATCAAGAATTTGATGTTTTTTATTTGATAAAATTTTCTATAAAGTTTAGATTTCTATAATGCGATCTTCTTCGTATTTTTTGTTTTACGCTCGATTAATTTGAGAGTATAATTTGTGTATTGAGTTATTAATTTGTAGTTTTGGTATACTGATAATGTTCAGATTACTGTTCAACGTTTGGAGGAGACGCTTCTTATAACTGCTGGCAGGCGTATTTCAAACTCAAAAATCTTGAGGTGAGTTAATTTAATTTTCACTATTATATGTCATCGAAATTCCTCCACTTTCTTACCATGTTTTCTTGGGAAAATTAGAGGGAAAATTTTCGAACATATTGAACCAAATGCCTTACAAAATTCTTCTTGTAGGATACTATGATGGATGATTTGGGAGTTAAAGCGACTGAGAATATACCTCATATTGGTATGCAATTTGATGCGGAGGAAGATGCTTACGCGTTTTACAATAGTTATGGAGGGTGTGTGGGATTTTGTGTGAGAAAAGATTTTCAGAATAAAAGTT